CTTTTTCTTCATTTCCCCTGCCTTACTTTGCATCGAAACAAATATTTAAGCTAGTTATTATCCTATTATGAAACTAAAAGAAATAATTTGAAGCGCAGATGGTTACCGATTTGGGAAATTGCTTTTCTCTGGGCAGTTTCTCAGTGGATGTTATTGATTCGAGTAAAATAATTTTTGTTTTATAATAGTTAGTATAATGATCAATATATCTAAATTACGTTAACTTTTAAATGAACAGCAATGATATAATTGTGCATAATACAAGTTGTATCTTTTTACTGAAGCAATTTAAACAAGGAATGCAAATGTAGCAGAATTTTAAATCATCTGATTAAAAAATTCTGATTGTTTCAAAGTATTAAAAAATTTTCCGAACAATTACTATAGCTGATTTAGTAAAAATCCTAAGATCATTCAAAATAGTAAAACTAAGAGGGAAGAAGTTTATCAGAATAAAGTTAAAATATATAGTTATTAACAGCATACTTGTTATAAAAAAGTGACATTTTTAATTTCAGATTTATTCATAAATTAATCATGATAATATGGATTTTTTTGTTGAAACTGTAGCTTTTAAAAATACTAATGCAATAATTTCTTCACCTTTTTTCTTATTTTCTCGACTCGAAAAATTATACTTCAAAGCAACTCACATTGTTGTGATATTTAATACTGTCCCAGAGACTATTTCATTGAATTTACTATTTTTTAAATTTCAAATTCAAAAGGTATTGACTACAACTCTATAAGTATATTTAGTTGAAATCAAAGCATTCTATTATATTGATCCACTCATTATAATGTTAATTTAGCAATTTGACTATTTTCCTAAAATGAACTATCGCGACAGACAAAAGACGCTTCTGTTTCTGATATGATTTTAACATTTGAATCGAAACTCTATCCCTGGAACAGTGTTTACCATCTATTTATTTATTTATTTATTTATTGCTATTTTTCATCTATGTAAATCTAAATTATCTACACCATGTAGAAGTATGAGTCTCACTGTGAGCAAATGTTTAAACCCATATGGATAAGTTTTTTCAAGCTCAAATTTTCGTTTTAAATATTGCTTAAACTGATTTTTGACATCCTTAATGTATCATACATCTCCAGTATTTACACTTTTTGGTTGTCTTGTAAAATTTTAACGAATTTCTTTTTGTCTGGAGAAATAGCCAGCATTATTTCAACATTTTTAGTCAACATTATTTCAGCATTAATGCTGTCAATATGGCAAACTCACGGAATTTTGTCAGGTATCTTTTTGAAAATCTGTACTATTCAATGAATGTGTTGGTTGGTTTTCAATTGCGGAACTTGTGGGTTAGCATCGGGATGCGTGAGCCGATGTGATGCCAGTTTCAGTTTCCTTTTTTAAAAAAATTGCTGGCTGCTGTTGCGTGCACACACCTGTAGCATAAACGTACGAAATATGATGATTTGTGAGAAATTTTATGGAAAAGATTACATTTTATTACTTTTTCGAGTTTTGCCAGCGTTTCTAAATCATGTATCTTAGCTCCACAGCTCATAGGAATGGACAAAGAATGGCTTCTCTTGAATGGTCACTCCTTTACGCATCATTTTCAGAATATAATGAAAAGTTTTCCTATTTCGCTGATAGCTATGGACTGAAAGTTTTCATTCTCTTCTCTTGATTACTTGTCAACTGTTGTGACTCAGAGAGAGAAAAATTACTAGACCAGAAGCGTATCACCATATCAAAAACTATTATTTCAGACTTTTTTTTTTCTTTTTCTTTTTTATAGCGTTTGCCTTTTTATTCACGAAATATAATGCCCAAAAAAGAGAAATCCAGAATAACTTTTCATCTAATAATCGAATCTTAACGTTTTTATTTATTTATTTATTTTGAGTATTTTACCATATCTCAAGAACTATTGAGTGAACCGAAAAAATTTGAGCATACTTATGCATTTTGTCCTTCTAAAGATTATTCCCGACAAAAATTAACTTTTACAAAGTTTACATTATTTAATAAAAAAATTAGTTATTTATAACAAAATACAAGATTTGAACGTAATCGGTCCAATAGTTTCTGAGAAATCAAAATATAAGTAACGGCATTTTGAATTTATTATTAGATCAAAAGTTATTCAGGGTTGTTCGTTTTTTTCCCCAATTGTATCTATTAAAAAAGAACATATTAAGATTAAAAAAGACACGAAAAAAATTTTAGATTCATATTGCCACTCTAAACTTAGTAAATAAATGACTAAATATTTTTTTTCTATTATTAAGTTCTCATACATGATTTGCTAAAAAAATATTCATTTTCTTTTTTTTCTCCGTTTCTTAAATTACAATAATTTTTAATTCTCTAAGTTTCTTAAATTTTTACTTTCTTCTTATGCATTATTTTTTATTGATATACATTATCAGTTGTTTTGTGGTTTTTCAAAATAAATATGACTGCATGAGATGATATATGCATTTAACAAGATGAAAATTTATTCTAAACAAAAAATATAATGCATTCTAAAATTTTGAATAGGAGCATGTAATTAAAGTAATTATAATAAGGTAATTAAAACAATGTAATTAAATCAATAATGTAATTGAAATAATAATGTAAATTAAACTAAAATAATGTTATAGTGTAATTAGAGTGCTAATTTTAAAACAACCTTCCCGGAATTTGTATTCGCCTTGCCACATTGCTGGAAAACAATGAATTTCAATTTATGTGGAAATGGAAAAGAAGAAAGAATGGAAAGAAGAAAGACACTTTGTTTCAAATACCTATTAATCCAACTAATTTTCTGAGAATTTAGAAAGAAATACTAAGGGCTAGGAAGGAATGCTATTCACTGAAGCGATAAAGTTGATGATTTTATTTTAATTTCTTAACGTACGGGTTAATAAAATTATCATGTTCACATATTTACACGAAGTTCATCGAACGGAATAATTTACATTAATGAAATGAAAAATTCATTTGTGTGACTCTCATAGTAACATTTATGCAACCATCTCGAAATTTGAACAGCAGATGCAAAGGATAATTCCTGCCGTGATTTGAAAACCCTTTTGAAAATTTCAAGTAATTCCTAAAAAGGAAATTTTAAAAAATAACTCTCCTCGTGGGTTTAACATTAGGCATTGTTGTAAATTAAATTTTTGATGATTCTGTTTCTCTAAGTATTTAACAAATATCCTTAGCAATGATTGCAAGCTCATAGCTCTATTTTGTCCACAAGCGGTTTAGCAAATGGGCAAAATTGGGGAATGTTTCTTCCCAATGCACTATTTCTCCATCTAATAACATTGAAGAACCGGTTATATATATATACGAAAACACAAAAATAATAGAAAAGAAGGTTAAAAAAAGGTTTTATGAGATCCATTATATTATTAGCGCCAATGATGCTTAATTAATTTTACTAATAGTAATCCATAGGTAGTATAATAGAACATGGGCAAAAGTTTTGAGATAGTTTCTCCATAATGCACTATTTCCTGTCTAGTAACATGAAAAAACCACTTGAGCTATTCGGAGAAAACTGCATAATAAAATACGACATTTTACTTGCTGAATCTTCAGTGATTTAACTATTGTTAGTATAATAATTAGTGCCTTATCAAAAGGTACCAAATAAACTAATGTACAAGCCTGTAATTTATGTACTAAGAAGCAAAATGACTTATTATTGTAAGAAAACCGTAAAAAACACAATAGTAAAATTATAATTTTCATTCTGAAATTATGATAAAACTCCCGGCAGCAGTCTGTCCGTCCAATTTACCATTATGTTTAAGGTAAAGAATAATTTTTACTTTTACGGTTTTGATACCGTTTACTACTAGTATGGTTAGAGACCATGAGTTCATAACTATATGGCTTTTTAACCCTTTACAACTAGCGGTTTCCAATCCCTAAAAAAGAAATTTAATTGGACATTGGTGATAGTTTAGCAGCTTTATGGTGCTGGGATCTATTAGTTAATAAGAGTATCGAATTTTATTAGGCCTGTGTCACAAGTTCGGGTATGCAGGATACTGGAACTCATGTGTTGAAAGAAATAGAGGAAATAGAGTGGTGGTAACACTGGGACTCGAATTTCTCACATTTAACAGTTTCAATACTATATTATTTATAATTGCTTGACTGTTTTGTTTGAATATGGTAAAATAGGAATTAAATAAAAAAAATAAGCATTTTTTCGAGAAATTTTTAACCGTGTTTTATTAAAATCAATGATGCTTAATTCATTTCGATAATAGGTACTATACTGATTGTATGGTCCCTTGAAAACGAACTTCTTTAAAGACATTTTAATATTATGTGACATAAGAGCTTTTAATTTTGGCTTTATCGCATTAATGGTAAATGTCGTATTGAAGGCATTATTTACTTGAAAATTCAAAAATATTACGGCTATTTTTATCAAAGTCTAAAATACGATAAAACATCTTTATCTTTCTATAAAATCTCATTTCTTTTAATTCCCTGCACTTTTTTCCCCAGTCCTTAATCACCGTGTATATAATATTGAAATTAAAGTATTTTCATATCTCTATATAAGAAACTTTAAGCATCAAACGTCCTATCTATAAAAAAGTATTATGTAGTTGCTTGGCAACTGTCATCCTACATTAATGTACATTTTGTTTCAAAAAAATTTAACTAATAGTCATTAAAATAAATGACTTTGTCCCAATAAATAACTTTGACTTACATGAACCATTTTTTTCTTAATTATATAATTTTATTTAATATTATGTATATGCCTTACTCTAATTTCTGTTGATTTAGTTCAATTTAAAATGTTTACCAAAGAAATAGAAAGATAAATTAAATTTAAAAAAGTAATAAAGAATTCTTAAACTTCTTTCAGAAAATATTTTCTGGACTTATTATTGTTAACATTTAAAAAGCTGTAAAAAAATTTTTATTTACGAATTAGCATTAAAAGTGAGAGATTTTGGAAATAGGTATTTTATGTGTACTTGGCGCTAAAAACAATACACACTACAGGAGAAACTTTGTTTTATTACAAAAATATATTTTCTTTTACTGGTAGCAAATACACTTTCAATAGGAACAGTACAAATAGATTTTCCAAACAATTTGTTTTTAAACAGGAAGCGTTAAATATAGATTTATATATGTAACAATAATACCATTAAAGTATTTCTATGAGCAATTGGTGATATAATGTATATGACCAGCCATGACATTTTGAGAATTTTTTTTCCTTCTTAACGGTACCAATATTTAATTTCTAGGATCAGATAAAGTATTTTTAATTTCATTCTTCAAAATTTTTGAAAGAAACAGTGCATAATTACAAAGAAAATACATATAAACTAATGTCTATGCAATTAACTGGTGTTAAAACTACTCGAGTTGGTTTTTCTTTACTTCTCGGTTTTCAAAACTGAAATTTTAATATTAAAGCAGATCTAGAAATATATTGCTTCAATTTACAATTCCTAGCCATTTTCAGATGCTTGGTAATTATCTTATTTCATTGAATTGAAAAGAAAATTATGTTTAAAATATTCCAATTAATTTTTAAAATTAATACATGTTAAAATTAACAAAAATTTTTTTTTGGAAAATGCTACTGCTTTAAAAAAAATTTTGTAAGAGCAAAAAAGTGATTGTTTGATTTCGTTTAGCATTTATGCATAATTCAAAAATGAAATAAACATTTTTGGAAGAAAAAATAGTTTCATGATCATTTACTTTTACGTATAAAATGGTGGATTCGTTACAGTATTTTTAAAGCCTATGCAACTTAAAGAACTTTAACTGAAAAACTATTGGAATGGAAAATATTTGTCAGTAAATTGAACGAAATGTTTGGATTTTATGATTGTTTTTTTTCAAGTTTCTAAATCAAACATTTTAAATTTAGAGATTTCAAATAAAATAGAGTTTCTTTTCTTTAAATCCAAGTTACTTAAACGTAATTTATCTTAGACAGCATAATACTTCATTAATCAACATCATACATTATAAAACGTAAGCAGTATATTTTAATTCTATTAAACCTTAATCAGACTATGCTCATCATATCTTAATCTTTAGGATGAACTGAAAGATGAAAGAACTTAACTGAAAGGTGAAAGAAAGTATGTCAATATTTGCTTAACTTCTATTTCAAATGTTAACATTCAATGTATCAAAAGGTTCTAAAATAAAAATAAAATGTCAAAAGTGTTTTCCTTCCTTTCTGTATCCAAATAAACAAACCAAATGTCACGACTATAAATTAGTTATTTTCTAGGCTTAGTACTTACGAATCTCTGACATTTATGGAAGGATTGATTCCTTATAATATACATCAAATTATATTATACACACATACAATTAGAGAGCACATAAAATCATAAGCAGCACAGATCTATTATTTGGACTTCCTCAAATTATTGAATGAGTCAAATCTTCTTCACAGCAGTACTTTTGCACTTACTAAAATTTAAGTTACGTAATAAAATAATGAAAAGATAAAGAAAAAAATCAAAAAAATAATTTTAAAAAAACCACATCGTGTATAAACATTTTGCAAGTAAATTTCCATACCAATCCTGTTCATATGCATCGGTAGATTTTTTAGTCTGTAGGTAGAATAAGTAGGTCTGCAACATTTCCGTACAAATCAAATTTTTTTCAGTGTTATCCATACTTATTATGATTCATTTAAAATTATAACCCAATTCTGCTTCTCAAAACTGCTTCCTTATCAGCTTTTAAGAATAATGCCATTCATTCAACATTTTAACATGGAGTAAAAATATATAAAAGTTGTTTAATTTTGTTAAATGACAGGATGCTTACAGCTATTTTGGAATGTTGATTTCTGCTTAAATGAATTCTGTTCGATTAAAGTCTTCAGTGTTCGATGAAATGACAACTTTTTCTGAAATGTTTTAATATTATTTTTAATATCACAGCAAAATTACAAGAATATTCCATTCCAGGAGAATTTTCTTTGAACATTCACACAGTCACACTTGCACCCTAAAAAATAAACTTATTTTAGTTTCAAATGGTTTTATATAGCATATAAGTCTACAAAAAATCATCATTGCAATATACGAGATTATATATTATTATAATGGCACTAGAACTAAATCAACTAAATTATGCGTCTGTTTTGATCGGAACAATATTTAGATTTTTAAGTATTAATTAAATTTTATTTTTATTGCTTCTTATATTTGTGTTATTAATTTAAGAACTCCACATTATAACAGTTGAAGTGAAAATAATGTTTTACCCATCTGTTGATTTAAAACTTCATTCTTAGAAATTTTTGATAGAAATCCGCATAAATATTACTGTACAAATTACGATAAAGTACTTTACGGCAAAAATGTATTTTACTACTAGATTTTTCGGATGCTGGACTCGAAGTACCAGTACTTAATATCTTAATATGATCAGGAATTTTTTTACAGTTAAAATTGTTATTAAAAAATATTTGTTTAACATATCTTTAAGCCATAAACGCACGAATATATATAGTTAAAAAAGTCATTAATAAAAATACGCCTTAAACGCCTATAAATATAAAGGCACGAAAATGAAAGTAATTGCAGGTAGATTCTGATTAATTAACATTCAAAAATAATTAGAACTTTCTTTAAACCTTATACTTTTCTTTTGAGTTGTTTTGCCTAAGAACGAAGATAAATTGCTTTAACATAAATTTAAAATTCCATAAACTGCTCACAATCATCTTGAAAATTTTGAATTCGGTTTAATTTTCGCTTACGGCTGTTCCAATAATTGAACCAATACCACAATCTTCACCATGATAAGCGCCGCAAGCAAAGCGCTTAAACATGAAGCGATAACGTATGTATGAATTTTTATGTTCTTCTAAAAATATCAACTACGTATGCTTTTTATTGAATTGAAAATATTTTTCCTCTATCAGTGAGACTCTACGTATTTAATACATTTTATGGGCAACCTCATAAAGTTTAAAGGCTTAATACAATGGCACGCCACATTTTATTAGTACTGAAAAAGACATGTTTTATAATAGATTTTTCGGTGACAAATAGCATGCAAATCATAGGATGTATATTTAACTATGAACTAGTGAAAACACCATCAATGTTCAAAATATCGATCGGAGGATAATTCTATTTAATAATAATTTTAAATTGTTCTTAAGTATCCTCGAATGATATTAATGCGCAATTTTTTTTAAAAATAATAAAGCCTTTAGGAGCTTTTTAACACGAGAACTTAAGCATAAAAATTTCAAATAATAATATCTTTACTAGTTTCAGTTTTTTTTTATAAGGGACCGTAATAAAATTAAACAGCTGAAAAAATTAGAAAACTTTGATTAAAATTGCTTCATTTTATTCAGAAAATAATTAAAGTAGTCTACAATCGCACATTTTGCTTCGTTTATAATTTATTGTTCATTATAATATGAACATAAAGAGCCTTGGCTTCAGAATTATTTTTTATTATTTCTTTTAATAGCCTTGACTATAGTAACATTAATTAAAGATATAATTAAGAGTTTAAAAAATAATGAATGCCATATTTCTTTTACGAAACCCCAATTTATTCCAAATTATTTTATGTGTTTACTCAACGTTATATATATCTTGCGTCAACATCGTGCAAATATTTGACTTGAGGCTGAGTACTGTTTGAAGAAAAGTTTTATGCGGAAAGTAGATCAGTAAATTTTACAGCTGCGTGAACATTTTATTTGACTCATAAACATGTTTACGAGTAAGACTAAAATATAAAAAATTTCAGAAGGTAAGGCAAAAAAGTACACATTCTATCTTCGCAGAATTTTATTAATAAAAATATTGCTAAGCATTGTTATGTAAATTATATAAAGTTTCTACTTCATCAAATGTTATGAACTGATTAATAGAAATATTTTAATTTTATTCCAACACAAAGTCTTTTTTAATATTAATATGTACACTGACTGAGCAAAACTCATGGGATAGCAGGGCTCTGATTTGTGGATGGACAGCACGTGTTACCAAAGCCACCTGGTGGCCTCCGCGACTGCCTCAGTTGTGTGTAAGACATTGCTTGAAGTGATTGTGTGAGTGATCAGGTAAAATCCAACGTCGTCGTGAGTTGACGGCTTTCGAACGCGGCATGGTTGCGGCTGCCTGACGCATGGCACATTCCATTTCGGAAGTGGTTCAGGAATTCGGCTTCCCAAGGTCAACCGTGTTGAGAGTTTACCGAGAATGGGTGAATGAGGGTGTCACAGTCCACAACAGACAAAATACCGGGCGTCCACAGGCCCTAAATGACCGACACAGACGAAACCTGAGACGAGTGGTAACTCGAGATAGGTGAGCAAATGTGCAACAAATCACGGTTGAAACACTGGTCGTGATAGAGACGTGTTCCAGTGGACAATCCGTCGGAACATGCGTGTTCTCGGGTATGAGAGTCGTCGCCCCACACGTGTGCCACTGCTAACCATATATGGCAGTACTTTTACTTTCGTTACTTGTACCGCCGATACAAGTAAAAAGTACGTACTTTTACTTGTACTTCGTTACTTTTTAAATGTAGTACTTTTACTTGTACTTTCGTAAACTTTTTTAGGGAAAAAGTACAAGTTTTTGTAACGGAAATGTCGAATGAAATCGTTGCTTTTTTCTGAAACTCGGTAAGTTTTCTAAAAAAAAAGAGAAAAAAAATTTAATTAAAAAAATGCTTATGTTTTTTTTAATTCATAAAATTAATGTGCAATATATATGCATTCACAGCTAACTTTGTGTTTAAATACCTTGATCTCCCGTGGAGCGCTTATTCAGCGTGGCTAAGCACGTTCTGAGAAATTCTCGCAGCAGACTCAGTGACACCACTTTCGAAATGCAATTATTTTGCAAAATGAATAAAAATATTTATTAGTAAGTTATTTTCATTCATTTTCAAGTTTTGTGCATTTATTTAATACATTTTAAATAAAAAATGTTAGATTTTGCTATTACGTTTTTCAATTTTCTTTTTGAACTCACTAATAATACATTTTTGTCTTAATTATTAATACATTTTTTACTAAACACATTTTTACCTAGTACATTTTTTACTAAAATTATGCTTATGCCCGACCTTGTCAAACAACGCCCAGTCAAATCTCTAAGAACTTCAGAACTATTTGTGCTATTGAAAACTATTATAATTACTATTTTAACTCTTGAAAACTCGAAGGCATTAATTTAGCCGCTGATACTAAAATTCGTTTACAATATTTTTTATTCCGTTAGACAGAAATGTTCGAAAAATGATTTTCTGGCATGACTTCAGCATTAGCCATTGTTACAAATGAAACTGCAGACTGTTCTGTTTCAACTTATACTGCACATTCAATTATTTTTTACTAACTCAAAGATCACAAAGCTATCTGAAACCTCGTGTCTGCTTTGTTTATGTTTGTGCTTTTAAAACGCGTTTCTATAGAGTAAAACAATTTTAAATCAATGATAATTTAAATAAATAAAAATAATGAACTAAAAATTAAAATCAATAGATAAAATTTCTTTTTCGTGCAAATCCATAAAAAGTTTGATATTAAAATTATATTTGATTTTAAAATTATGTTATACGATTAAATTATAAAATTATATTGTAGTATTCTTCCGAATTTAAAAATAAATTAATCCCCATAACTTAAAAAATTTAAAATAATTAAATAAATAACAAAAATTTTGCAAAAACATTAAAGAACATAATATTATTCAATAAAATGTTAGCTTACTTTGAATTTTCGATTTCCTAGAAATGTACTTTTAAATCGTTACTTTTTTTGTTTAGTACTTGTACTTTTTACTCGTTACTTTTTAAAATAAGAACTTTTTACTCGTTACTTTTTTTAAAAATACTTGTACTTTTACTCGTTACTTTTGAAAAGTAACGCAGCCATATATGCTGCTAACCCAGCGTCATCGGACAATTCGGCGTGCATTTACCACCAATCACCATGGATGGACACTGCAACAGTGGCGTAACGTGATCTGGTCTGACGAATCACGTTATCAACTGTTCCATGCTGATGGGAGGCACCGTGTGTGGCGCACACCGCACGAAGCGATGGATCCAGCATGCCAAGTGGGCACAGTCCAGGACGGTGGCCTATCAGTCATGGTGCGGGCTACATTTTCGTGGCATGGAATGGACCCCCTGGTCATTCTGGATGCCACATTGACTGGTTAGCGGCATCTTCAGCTGCTTGGAGACCATCTCCACCCTTTTGTCATGTTTCAACACCCTGATGACATTGCTGTGCATCAAGATGGCAACGCAGCCCCACATCGCGCCAATATCGTCCGTGCCTGGTTCGACGAGCATGCAGGTGAGATACAACGACTGAATTGGCCACCTCGAAGTCCTGATATGAACCCCATTGAACATATCTGGGGTGCCCTCGACATCAGGCTCAGGGAATTGAAACCTCAACCCACGAACAGGCCACAATTGGCTGTCACTCTGCAGAATGTGTGGTGCCAACTACCTCCGGACGTGTTCTGGAGCCTTGCAGACTCACTTCCACGCCGTATCGCTGCACTCCGCAGGGCCAGAGAGGGTCCGACCAGATATTAGGTGGGTATCCCATGAGTTTTGCTCAGTCAGTGTATATATGACGTTGATGATGAAATTTTTAGTTAATATTTAAACTTTAATTTAAGTCCAATTTTTTCAAACAATAGAATTTATTTAAAATATTCTTCTGAAAGTAATGTGATAAATATAAGGATGTATCACGGCTTTTTAACAATTGAAAAGTTTATTGTGTCTTAGCTAACTATTGTATAGAAACTGAAATTAAAGAGGAGATAAAAGGTTTAAAGTAACAAAGTTATTTTTATCAGTACGTTGATTCACTGAATAAAGAACACTTCATTTACAATTTATGACTAAATAAATGGAAAAATAATTCGATATAGTGATAGAAAAAAAAACACAATGCTAAATGAAAATTTTTAGAAGTTGTTAAGAATTAGTTATTTGTGTTAGGTGATATTCAATAGAAATCGAGTTTCAAAATCTTTTTTTTTATCATTACACATTGCATTCCTGTTTACTGAAATTGCTACACTAAGAAGGGGTAAAAAAACAATGCATTTATGAAACATGTACATTTTGTGTTAAAAAAACAAACAAATTATCACATTTACAGTAAAGTACGACCGATAAAACCTTAAAAATTAGTACCAAATATGGACACTCTTGGCAGCAAATACATCATTTGTCAGTTTAGGTATGTTTTTATACAGAGGGATTGAGTTCAGATAGCCTGGTATTCTATGTATGCATCTCTTATGTCCCGTGTTAATGACATTTACGGTGATGGTAGTCTATGCGGCTTCGATACTAAGCCAAAGTTAATTGACAGAAATGAATGGTGAGAGTTTGGTTCTCCAAAATCCGAACAGTCTTTATTAAGAATATAAGGCTGATCCGGATAGCATGCGGTCTTGTATTGCCCTGCACTCCTGCATGTGATATAATATCAAATATAGCCAAAAGCGTGAACTCCGAGTTGAGAGTTCATGCTGCTGCAAGTGCTACGGAAATGCGTAAACGAAAATTTGATGTCTTTCAAATGACTTCCTATCAAGATCAATGTATTGTGACATGGCTGTGTTATCCAAAATTACTATGCGGGTAAAGTGCCTGCCTTTTCAATTGTAAGTAGTCCGTATGCTCTCTTTAATCCATCGATTCCATATTCTGGCAGACCCTCATGCGATCTCTATTAGCGATAGTAGCAATAATACAGTCCCACAAACCTGGGTTACGGTACTATAATATTCAACTATTAACACGGAGTCCTATTGGGCTATAATTCAACCTCAAATAGTGACAGACTTGAGCTGGTAAATACTTTTCTTTTTACATGTGGTATCACAATGTCTTCTAAGAAAGACAATAACGCTCAAAATCCATTTACTGAAGTCAGATTTTTTGCCGTCACATGCATTGAAGCCTGCTTAACACTATTGCGCTAAAAATCGAATTTTTTACCTGTCACACCGTGTTTCCTATCTGTAGTGTGTATATTTCAAGTCGTCATCATGGTTAGGGCTGCAAGTTATTGCTTAAAATTTGATTTTTTTTCATTTTTTGTCTTTATTAAACAGAATTTTTTTATTTTCCTGAACCTTAAATTGAACATGTAAAATTGATTAGATATTTAGGGGAGTGAATCAATAGCAAAATGACATGAAAATAGTTCAGAGATAGGAGATAATCACAATCTTGTCAACTAAGGTGGTCTTTCTGGACTTAGGGAGGGTAATTACCCTCCTGACGTCGGTAAGAGTACGAAATAAATTGAAATCACAAAAGAAGGAAAATGTTGTAAATCAAATCTTTGACAAAAAAATTGTTATACATGCTATTGCACTGGGCAATGAAATTTCTACTGCCTTTCTACATATCCAGTTCATTTTTCCTCGGCGGCTTCTTGTGATTTCTTAAATATGGATAAGTTTCTTAGATGAAGGGGGAGACTAGTAGTTAGTAGGGACTTGCAACTAGTAGTTTGAATGTAGAATGTTTGAGTTTTCACAGCAATTACTTCTTACAAAGCAACGGTCAAGGAATTGCGCGTTGGTGAAGGAAAATTGATCGAGTTTTGGAAATCAAAGACCGAACGCTCCAAAATTGGCAAAAGTGGCAATTCGAAGTTTGTCGATGCCCAAAAACAGCGCTGACGCAGAAAGATCGTTTTCTAAGTTTAAAAATGTATTAAGTGATGAAAGACGAAGCATAAATGAGAATAATCTGACAATGTACAATACTTTGCACCAAAATTCTGCTCATTTAAATAAAAATATTAATATTGCTTGGAATTCAAAGAAATACTTTTGCTGAGTATTTTTAAGCTTTCTTTATAATTTGCGCAATTTCTGTTCTTTATTATTTGCGCAATTGTTAGTTCAGCAAAGAACTATCACTGTTTTCCTATGTCCTAGCACTAACTTATTATGTTTACCTATCGATATTAAATAAGACTTTTTCATTGATATTAATACTCAGAGAATAACAACTAATTTTTAAAGCTGTAATTTCATTCGTTAAAAGTTTATTTTGTGTTTGATGCACTGTTTTCCACCTGTATAATTTAATATTAAATAGCCAATGTATGTGAACAATACATACAATAGCAATGAATTACTGAATGAACTATATCTTTATTTTCGAAAACATTTTTACGCAAATAAGGCATTAATGTATGCGGAGGCTTAGTATACATAAACTCATTTAAATGGCATAAATGAATATATAAATCATGTAATTTTTCTAATAGTTTTACAATATAAAACAACTATGGAAAAAAAGCACTTGTAACGCGAAAAAGAATATACGCATTTAATCGAAAAAATCCCTTTTAAAATGTAGGAATAGTTTAAATTCTTTAAATTTCTAACTATACTTTTCCAGAAAAAATATTAAATTAAATTCAGTGTGTCTTCTGAAGAGCAATTAAAACTTTCAGGATTCAAATAAAAACTTAAATTAAGGCACCGAGAAGCATAGGTATGTGTGACATGAATTTAAATAAAGCAAATCTCGGGAGAATTTCAGTCTTTTTTCGTTAATTCTACCTAACACAACTTTTAAAAAATGTTAAAAAAAGGAAAATGCTTATTTTTAATTTTTTATTTAATTAAATGAAAACATATAAAACATTTTTCAATGAAGTAATTCTATTTTTATTCATCTAATCATTATTTTTTCATCATTTTTAAAAGAATAATATTAATGAGATTTATACCAATGAGAATTAATTATAAAAACATTTTAATAAACTATATCATAATATTTAAATTATGCAAATTACCCATTGAGACGATATGATGAAAAAGATGTCTCCTTTTAAAAAAATTAACTTAATGTACAGCGTTTTTGAAAAGCATAAAGTAGTAAAAATATTTTCTCACTAACGAATTTTATGCCACACAATAAATTTCTTTAATTTTGAATTTCCAAATATATTTCCGATTCCTCATCTATTTCCTGTAAAATGTGTTCTTATCAGAATCCATATGAATACAAAAGGCAGAAAAATACTAAGGCACCAACATCCAAGGAAACCTAAACCCACCAATTTTGTGAGATTTATGGTGTTTTCTCTTAGACAGTCAAAATGAACAGCATTGATACTTGCTTCAAAATGCATCAGGACTGGCTTGAAATAAGATGAAATTTACTCCATTAGTCAATAAGCGGAGTTAGATTACTATTTTAACTAAACCTTAATTTAATGTTTATTTTTGAGAAAATGAAATTTAAAACGTCTTTAGTTTATTTTCTTTAAAACTCTCCATAACAACCTCAACGAGTGCTGAAATAAATCATTCTTTAGCAGGAGAAGTTTGTATAATATACAAAGTAACACATTGTTTTCGGAATTGAGAGTCTTGAATTGTAGTAATTATGTATATTTTAACATAAGTGAGTTTTTTTTCTTTCAAATAAGGCAGTATATATATTTTATTTTTAACCTAGGCATGAAAAGAACAAAGAAAACAAGAACTATATTTTTTGACTTACCGACCAAATTTAATGGAGTAAGTTTTTTGGGCAAATGCAGCATCATCATCACAAAAATACTCGCACAGTAAATTCTTCAATGGATGGACTGGATGAAGAGTGTGTAAGATATCCTTGAAAGCCTGCTCAAATGGAAATATTTTTTTTATTTCTTTAACTGCTCAAATAAACCAAGAAAGAACAAACAAAAAAAGACTTTTGATGAACACGGAACATAATATACATACATATAACTGCACTACAACTACAGATATTATATTAATTGTAAAACAACGAAGTAAAGAAACTGTCTGTACATTTGAGAGGGAACTTGTCATCTTAAGGAAAAATGTAGTACCAAATATTATTCATAGGGAAAGAAGTCTAACTTCCGTAAACATAATGTAAATCAGCCCCCCAAGGTTCAGTGGTGTTTCTGTGCATAAAGGAAAAAACAACATTTAGGGCAACATCGGTAGAGGTTTTTGAAACTTGTTTGTACCCTCCTCTCCTCTCAACCACCACTGGTGTTGTGAAGAAGAAATGTTTTCTATTTTTTATGTATTATTAGTATGTTCTGTATTTTTATCCTATTCGCAAACAGTACTGTACTTTTAATTGCAAAAAAATTTGAGAATTTATTTATATCATCCATGTTAATTAAATCAGCTAACACATTTTGACATAGAGAGAAAGAATAAAAGGGTGGTTGGTAGGCAGCAGCGTATTCCAACATACTTGCAGAGTTGCCTAACAACCCGTTCACGGGCGACATACCTGCTAACTGTCACCTTACTTTTTGGGTATGCACTGCAAAATTCTGAGTATGTTTCGCATCCTGTAAGTTGTTTTTCTGGTATAACATGTCACACCCAGTAATTCCCCGCGTTAGTTAAGCATCCGAAGGACTTCTTCTCCTTTCTATGTTCTTTTGTAGTGCCTCAGAAATTTATAGGTAAATTTTGATAGAAAATAAATTTAGGCAGAAAGTTGATTTGACACAAAATTCTACATTATTTCGCTTAATTTTTGAATTTTTTTGATCGAAATTTTTTTTATAGATTTATATGATTGAAATAAAAAAAACGTTACAGTTCATATAGCACAGTTTAAATTTCTATTTGTTAAAAAAATATAACAGTAAAAAATATCAAACTTATGTTTTTTTATTATTATTATTATAAGAGCTTTTTAGTCTTTTCCTAAGGTATGACACTATCATGGAAAGTATTCAACTATCTTATTTTTTCAGAACATTTTTCATACATTTTAAATTGAACTACAAATGTTTCACTCTGAACCTTTAAGCAAAAGAAGTTCTTTTTATTTATTTTTTTAAAAAGTGACTTTTGCCAACATTTCAAAGGTGCTATAAGAAAATATTAGGGTAAAGTTGAAAGAAACTTTTATTTGAACTAAGATTCTTGGTTTATCAGTGCACTTCTCCTCTTACTTGAATTATTTAAAAAAAATTTTACAGTATTATGAATAATTATTTCAAATTTTATATATTTATATTAATAAAAATTCAGAAAAAGCTAAATAGATTGATATAAATTGTGTGAGGAACGAATACAAAATCAGAATTATGTTTCTGACGTCATTAGATCAATTTCGAGAAACATATTATGTTTGTGTAATGCATAAGAATGTAAAAGAAAGATTGAAGCTTAAATGTTTTGCTAGTCACAAATTTATCAAAAGTATGTTACTTTACTCTGAGATAACTTTAAAATTTCATAAAATATTTTACTTTGAAACTGCTTTGATTATTGCTAGTTTAGAAAACAAATCTAACAGGTAAAACATTTCTATATATTTAACGTTACTTTTATAGTGCATAGGTTGAAGAACTGTTTGTTCAATTTATAAAAGCGGCCATAACATGCAAAATGAAGTTTTTTTGTAGAAACTGAAATAAACAGGTTATAATAAAAATATTATTACTGTTAAAATGAAATCTATAAGAATTATGTTAGAGGTGGTTAATATTTACTAAAACATATTGATCAAATGCACAATAGATTCCCATTTCGTACTAACTATCAGTCTAAGTGCACACACAACATTAAGATAAGTAATAATAAGGTTCGATATTTTGGAGTGAGCTGAGATTCTGTAAAACTATTAACTGTAATACAATTAACGTAATTTAAAATATAAAGAAATGTTACGTAAATGGAAAGTTCGGAAAAAATCATGCTTGAAAATATTTCTCTTTAAGATGTTATGCGACACTATGCAATGATGTATAGCAATCAACGTCTAACCAAACCGCATTTAATTTATGCTCCAAAATATCATAAAAATAATGCCTGAGGATGTCTTATGATTATTAACAAAATAGTTTCAGGTTCAAATATAAAAATAATTCTATTGATTAGCTTTTGATTTTACTTGAAAAAATCTTTATAAGATAATTATAAAAATAGTCTTAAGGAATTTTCTTTAATATCTTTTCTTTCAAGTCTAACTATTGAATGTCATTTATTATATACATGTTTAATCCGATTTAGATTTCTTATTCAGAATATAATATTCTTCAGTTTTCAGTAGTAAACCAATAACGGTTTTCTTGTTTGACGTCAGCCATAGCAATCCAATTATTTAATAGCTTTCCAATTATTTTTAATCAAAAAAAATTTTTTAAAAAAAATCTTATCGTGTGCAATCTTCAAATCTTTATCTGTCTGCGTTTCGGCTTATGCTTAATTTTTTTTTAAAAAAATATGTTATTTCTTACAAAATCTTATAAAACTTTGTAGTTCTCAGAATTATTATTTTATTTAAAAACTAGAACTCACAAAAAATAATTATGCTTTTGATGAGTATTGAAGTTATACATAATATTAGAGGTATTTCAATAAAATAGACAACGCTAAGTTCGGTATAGGGTAAAACATTTTAATACACCATCTGGATTTTTTGATCGTTTAATAAATAACAGCCTGCTTTACGGATCTCATTATTAAACAAATAGTAATACGTCTTTAAAACTTTAAATAACGGTCCAAATTTTTTGAAAAAAATTATGCTTTTGTTGATAAGCATGTAAGCAGTTTCTGTGATATTTCAAAAACATTAAAATGGTGTGTTTACTAATGAAATTTGGGTGACATGATTTTAAAGGCTATTATGTATGTAAGGTCAAAGTAAAAATGGTGAAGTATTAACGATAGCATTATTTTAAATCCCACAAATTTAGTTCAAACATACATGTAGAACCTTGAACAATGATATTATGCAATTTATTTGTAACAGTAATAAGGTGTTAAACTAATTATGTTTCAATCTAAATTAAGCTATTATGCCATGCAGAGAAAAAAATGCTGGCAAAGCCACCAAACTAACTAATAATTAAACCAAAATAAATGTATTCAAACCATTCTTATAATAATTTTGCCGAGTGCTATTGTTACGGTTCACCGAAATTTCATGATACACACAGGGCCGGATTAACCTATAGGCACACTAGGCACGTGCCTAGGGCCTACGAAATTCAGGGGCCTACGAAAAACTTGGGAGAAAAAAATTTGTTGACAAAAATAATTTAGCTTCAAAAACAACAGGTGTAGTTTGCACAAAATTATGAAGATACAAATAAAAATATAATATTTTTCGTTAATAAATTATTTTGCAGAATCTTATGATCTAATATATTACTTTTTTGCGATTTTTGGATTCAACGAAATCTTGTATTATGCTGTCGAATTCCAAACTACGCAAAATGTCGTATTCAATAGACATAAGTGCGAGCGATGCCAAACGATCTTGATTCATTGTTGAACG